TTCAGACATTTTAGTCTAACTCCTGTCCCGCTCCTCACAAAACAGATGGGGAAATCAAGGACCACAAAGCAAAAGAGACTCACCTCAATGACTTAGCATGGAACAGTGAGCCCTGAATGATAGCCAGACTTTTCTCACCATTTCCTTCTGAACATAAGCCTCTTAGTCATGCAGACTGGAAGTGGATTCCTAACCTTGCATCAACCAGCTCTGTCTTTGGATAGTGATATAACATCTCTGATTCTCATTGTCTGCATTTGTAAAATGAAACAATAACATCCTCACTGGCTTACCATAAAGATTAAATTATATAGTGCATGTAGAGTATATAATAATTTAAATATGAATATAGTTCCCACTTTACAGACGAGGAACTGAGGCTTGTTGCAATTTCTCTTGGTTCAGGATTGTATCTCAAATCAAAAGGAAGCACACAAAAAGCCAAAGAAACCTGTGTGTGAAAGTTGGGTGGCCACAGGTGAACCAAGCTTTCCTTGTACTCGTCACTGGGAACTACCTTTCTGTCTGGGACCTCAAGAAGACACCATGCACCCAGTGACCCTCCCTGCCTCTGCTGCCTAATGCACAAACAGGTTGTGAAACAAGCTGGACAGTGACTCAGCCTGGTAGCCTGCTCTTCTGGTTGGAACCAACAGGCTGGAGCTGTCTGGGTAAGCCTTGAAAGGACGTGGTGTCTGACAAACATGTTGCTTGTCAAATCCCTGATGGGGATGCCAAGCACAAACTGTGAACTCTGGTCCTTGAGGCATCATGAATGACTGAACTGGGGTGCCAACGTTGTATACAACATCTCCTGGTTGTTTTTCTAGTCTAATAACCATCAGGGACAATGTCAGGGAGAGGGGAACATGTTAGAGGCTAGGAACCCCTATTTCTTGAAAGTCAGTGTGGTGTGGTGGCCAGGACCTCTCTGGGCTTTTGGTGTCCACAATATGCAGACCTGAGTTCTGAGCCCTGATTCTGCTGCTTACTGTCTTTGTGATCCTGGGCAAGAGGTTTACCCCTTCTAAATTTGAATTTCCTTATTCTATAAAATGTTCACCTTGCAAATTTGTCTTTTAGAGATAAAACATAAATGGCTCCAATTCAACAAAGGGCAAATTCCACCTACACTAGGGTAAAGTAGGCACTTCCTAAGGACTCAGTAGCCACAGAGAATTTTTGCACTGACCCTAGCACCTGGGGACACCCAGAGACCACATCCTGAAGAACAGACCACGCACTTCAGCTTCTCCCAAGGCTAGCAGCTCAGGAGCCCTTTGCTGTATGTATCCTAACATGTAAGGGGCTTATGAATATTTTTCAAAATTAAAAATAACTAGCCAGGCATGGTGGCACACACTTGTAATCCCAGTGACTCAGGAGGCTGAGATAGAAGGATCATAAGTTTGAGGCCAGCCTCAGCAAATTAACAAGGCCCTAAGCAACTTAGTGAGACCCTGTCTCAAGATTTAAAAAAGGGGTCTGGGGCTGTAGCTCAGTGGTAGAGCACTTGCCTCGCAGGTGTGAGGCCCTGAGTTCAATCTTCAGAACCACGTAAAAATAAATGAATAAAATAAAGATTTTTTTAAAAAAGATTTTTAAAAGATGTGGGGGACTGGGGATGTGGCTCAGTGGTAAAGCACCCCTGGTTTAATACCCAGTACCAAAAAATAAAAATTAAATTAAAATTAAAAATAACTTATGGGGGCTAGAGTTGTGGCTCAGTGGTAGAGCATGTGCCTAGCACCCATGAGGCACTGGGTTTGATCCCCAACACCACATAAAACTAAACAAACAAAATAAAATGTTGCACCCATCTACAACTAAAAATATTTTTTAAAAAAGCCCTGTGGGATGAAAATGTAGATAAAAGATGTAAATTTCTTGAAGCATAGAAAGCTCCATAAATTGATACCAGAATCCTTTGCCAAAATCTGTCCCTTCCCACTCCAAAGGGAAATTGCCCCTCTCACTAGCTAATGGCTTATTTACTTTTTTCTGGTATTGGAGATTGAACCCAGACCCCTTTTCATTTTATTTTTGAAAAAGGGTCTGTCTAAATTTCCAGTCTGGCCTCAAACTTGCAATTCTCCTGCCGAGTCTTCTGAGTAGCCAGGAACATGTGTGTGCCACTGTGCCTAACTAGCTAAGGGTTTATTTTGGAGGGGTGGATACTCAACCACTGAGCTACATCCCCAGCCCTATTTTGTATTTTATTTAGAGACAGGTAATCACTGAGTTACTTAGCACCTTGCTGTTGCTGAGGCGGGCTTTGAACTCTTGATCTTCCTGCCTCAGCCTCTCGAGCTGCTAGGATTACAGGCATGTGCCAACGCGCCCTGCTAGCTAAGAGTTTTTGTTGGTTTGGTTTGGTACTGGGGATTGAATCTAGGTGCTCTCTACCCCTGAGCTACATTCCCAGCCCCTTTTATTTTTTATTTTGAGACAGGATCTTTCTAGGTTGTATAGGACCTCGCTAAATTACTAAAACTGGCTTTGAACTTGTGATCCTAATGCCTCAGTAATCCCTCTGGGATTATAGTCATGCACCACTGTGTCTGGCATAAAGGTTGATACTATAGTAGCAACTTTCCCACTCACCCAGAATTAGCAGAAAAGCAATCAGCACAGATATCCTAAACACAAGCCTCAAGCCAATTGTAGAGCTATGATCCTATTCATCACTGGATTCATTTCCTCATATTAGTAGGAAAGGAAATTTTGCTTAGCCATACTGGGAATCAAACTCAGGGCCTTGCTTGTACAGTCAAGTGCTTCTCCCCTGAGCTACATCCCTAGACCTTTTTATTTAAATTTTGAGACAGGGTATCACTAAATTGTCCTGGCCAGGCTCAAGCTTGCTTTCCTCCTGCCTCAGCCTCTGGAGTCACTGGGATTATAGACATGCTCAAGAAACATTTTTAATCAAGGGGTGTGGTAGGACATTATGGCCCCCAAAGATTTCCAAGTCCTAATTTATGAACCTGTCAATGTTAACATACACAACTTAATCTCTTTGTAGATGTATTTAAGGTAAATGTATATAGATGAGGAGATTATCCTGGATTATCTAGATAGGCCCTCAATAAACTCACTATCATTATAAGAGGAAGATTTGACTACAGAAGAGAAGGCAATGTGTTATGGTTAAACATGACCCCTAAAGTACATATGACGGGAAAAATCTCCAGTGTAATAATGTCGAGAGGGGTGACTTTTAAGAGATGGTTAGAGTGGGAGGGCTCTGCCTTCATTAATGGATTCAAGCTGTTTTCCCAAAGTGATGAGTTTGGTCTCCTTCCCTTCTTCTCCCTCCCACAAATGCTCTCTCACTGTATGATACCTCTCCATGTTATTATGCAGCAAAAAGACCCTCACCAGAGTTAGGCCTCTCAACCTTAGACTTCCCAGCATCCGGAACTGTAAGAGATACATTTCTGCTCCTTATAAAGTACCCAGTCTGTAGTATTCTGTTATAGCGGCACAAAACAGGCTAAGACACAATGTGGTGACCAAAGCGGAGATTGGAGTGACAAGACCTTAAGTCAGAGAACACAAACAGTCACCAAAAAGTGGAAGAGACAAGGAATGAATTTACCCCTGGATCATTCAGAGGAACCATACCAGCTGACACCTTGAATTTATTTTATTTTTTTAAATATATTTTTAGTTGTAGATGGACACAATATCTTTATTTTATTTATTTTTATGTGGTGCTGAGGATTGAATCCAATGCCTCATGTTTATGAGGCAAGTGCTCTGCCACTGAGCCACAGCCCCAGTCCCTTGAATTTATTTTTATCTCTTTTCTTTTTTTATTTTGGTACAGGAGAAAGAACCCAGGGGAGCATAACCACAGAGCTACATCCCCAACCCTTTTTATTTATTTATTTATCTGTACAAAACATTTAATTTATTGATCTTTTGGGGGGAATTTCATGCCTCACCACTGTATTACAGGAGTCATTGATTTTGTAGCTTTTTCAACATGGACTGGTTTCATCTTCGTGATGCTCAGGAATCAGTTCTTCCTGCAGAGGTTCTGGAGAGAGGCTTTTTGAGAAGTGTGCAGCTTCCTTCTGTTTGTTACAAAAGCTTTATTTACTTGGTTAACTTTTTCACCATTCACAATGTTTATCTTCTTAAGATTAGGGGTAATTGGTTTTGCTTTGTTTTTAGCCTTAAAGAGTTTTTTTTTTTTTTTTTTTGCTAGATATATAAAATACACTTCTGGACTTCTGTCCTCTTAATTTGTTCTAGCCATCATCTCTCATCAGACCTGATTTACCCATTACATGCCTGCTCAAGTTCCAGGTGACACCATCTGCAGGCACATGATTCCCCTTTTTTTAATTGTGGGACAGTGTCTCACTGAGTTATTTAGGGCTTCACTAAATTGCTGAAGCTGTCTTTGAACTTATGATTCTCCTGCCTCCACCTCCTGAATCACTGGGATTACAGCCTGTGGTACTGTGCCCAGTTCCCCTTTCCTTTTATGTCTTTCTAGAGCCTGTGTAGAATTCCTTAGGATGACATTTGAGGACTTTTATAATTGTATTAGCATGTTTCTGGTTGCAAATGGCAAAAAGGCCTACTCAACTTGTTTTGTTCATAAAAGATAATTTTTGATCATTGAACTAAAAAGTATATGTGAAGACTTCAGGCATAGCTGAATCTAGAGACTGAAATATTACTGTAAATAATTGGTCCCTCAAGCCAGGATCAGTGGTGCACACCTATAATCCCAGTGACTAGGGAGGCTGAGGCAGGAGGATTGCAACTTTGAGGCCAGCCTTGGCAATTTAGTGAGACCCTGTCTTGAAATAAAAAAATAAAAAGATCTGGTGATGTGGCTCAGTGGTAAAGCACAGGGCTCAATTCTCAATATAACAACAACAACAAAAGGTCTTTCTCTCTTTATCTCCTCCCCTCAGGCTCCCCTCCCCCTCCCCAAATACTGGGTTTGAGCCCAGGTTCTTGCACATGCTAGGCAAACACTGAGTTGCATCCCCAGTTCTTTTTATTTTGAGATAGGGTTCCACTAAATTGCCAGACCAAATTGAAACTTGCAATCCTGCCTCAGCCTCTCAAGTCACTGGGTTTACAGGTGTGTGCCACCATGCCCAGCTCTTTCTCTTTCTCTCTCTCTCTCTTTAAATACAGAAGGGTGGGTTTCATTGTGGCATGTTTGTACATATGAATTTTGCTTAAAGTTCTTTCCCAGTACCTTCCCCACCTGACTTTCCTTTCTCTTAGATTTCCTGATTCCTGTTCTCCCCAAGAATTCCAATAAATATTTGGGGAAGAATTCTCACTGGCCCAGCTGACAGTCATTGTTGCTCTCTAATCAGCCAGACCAGACTCCATTGTGCACCCCCATCTGGGGATATGAGAGTGGAGTTAGGACCACCAAACCAAATGGGACATGGGAATTACTAAAGCAAACAAGAGCGTGCTATTTCTAAGAGGTGGAAAGGAGGCTGGGTAAGTAAATGCAGAAATTCTTTCCAGATTATTTAGCATGGAATTCAGTTTGTCCTCACCAGCATGGCCCTTGGGAGATGTTTATAGTTCAGTATCCATTCTGATTAATTTGTGCATATACCCGTTGGCTTGTTAAATCTGTTGAACATCACCTCTGCCCATTTCCACCGAATAGTTTTGCCTAGTTTATCAACTTTCCCAGCCAGATCTTCTGCTCCTACCCCTGCATACACACACCCCATAGCCCAACCTAATGGTCCTACTTTTGGGGACATCAGTCTATAAAAGCAGAGTCTGATTATTTTCATTCCTACTTATCTTCAAAGACCAGTTCAACCAAGGCCCCATGAGGCCTTTGTACTGTCCTCACCTGGAATTGACCTTAGACTTGCCTCACCCCACCTGAATACTCTGTGAGTGTGTCTCTCATTGTCTCTTTCTTTTTGTGGGGTGGGGGTACTGGGGATTGAACTCAGGGGCACTGAGCCACATCCTGACCCTATTTTGTTTTTTACCTTTATTTATTTATTTATTTTTATGTGGTGCTGAGGATTGAACCCAGGGCCTCGCATGTGCTAGGCAAGCACTCTACCGCTGAGCCACAGCCCCAGCGCCCCCAGCCCTATTTTGTATTTTATTTAGAGACAGGGTCTCAATGAGCCTTGCCATTGCTGAGGCTGGCTTTGAACTCAGAATCCTCCTGTCTCAGCCTCCAGAGGCTCTGGGATTACAGGCATGTGCCACTACGCCTAGCTCTCATTGTCTCTTTGATTGGAATTAAACATTTATTGTGGCTCTCTGCTGAGACTGTACCCTATTAATCTATGTTCCTCAAAGTCTGTCACTTACTTAGTCACGTGACACTTATAAACTCCTTCACCTCTTTTAATGTTCTTTTTGTTTGTTTGTTTTTTGTGGTGCTGGGCATTAGACCCAAGACCTCACCCAGGCTAGGCAGGCACTGTGCCACTGAGCTATACCCCCAGCCCTTCCTTACCTCCTTTAGCCTTCATTTATTTCTTTGTAAAAGAGGGATGATGAAGCTGGGAATGTAGCTCAATGGTACAGCTCTTGCCCTGGAGTGGACATATGTCTTGGGATCAATCCCTAGCACCACAAAAATAAGCAAAAAAATAAAAATGAGAGATGATAATAGCCCTTGTAGTGTGTGTGTGTGTGTGTGTGTGTGTGTGTGAGAGAGAGAGAGAGAGAGAGAGAGAGAGAGAGAGAAATTGAGACACAAAACACTAAGTATGCCAGAGAGATGATGTGCCTTGCACAGGACGGACACCTGTGCTGGCTGAGCTGGGATTCAAATGTCCTTCTCTACATAGAGACTGCACTCCTAACTACTATTCCAAACAGACTCCCACACAGGAGATGGATAGTGGTTGGTACACAGTAGGGGATGAATGTTGCTAAATGCTAAATGCTTCACTCTGTTGAATTGAATCTCATTTCCGCTTTGGCTGTGCCTTCACCTGGACTGATTTGCACCTCTCAGTTCATCTTGGCTGTGTCATCAGGTCACATGACACAGTTCTCCTGGGGTGCCCACTTAATTCCTGCTGACTTGGAGTATATCTTCTGAGCACTCCTGTCAACTGGGAGGAACCTATGGGCTGTAATCCTGGATCTGGAACAGGCCAAAGGTCTCTGTTTGCAGTGACCCAGACAACAGCTGGAACTCATCCAGGGGAGATGCTGCCTGTTGGGGAGGGTGTGAGCCTTCCCAATGCCCCTGCCCCCACTAGGAGTCCAAGGTCCAAGGCTGCAGTTTTCCTGTTCAGAACATATTGCTTACCCTTTGGTTTCCAGGGCATTTGTGGTGATAAAACCACTTGTCCTGTTCACTTCACAACAGCCTCACAGCTAGATATTTGGAGAAAAGAACATGGGGATTTGAATCCACTAAACTCATATCTCTGTTCGTGGAAGCATGTTTACCACAAGAGTCTATTTGTTTTCTATTTATCACGTAGTTAATATGTACTAATTGTTGTATTGACTTTTTGCCCTGAATAATACTTTGTTGTAAGACACTACCCTGTGCATCGTAAGATGTTTAGTAGCATCCCTGGTTTCTACCTACTAAAGCACCCCCAGTTATGACCACCAAAAATGTCTCCAGACTTTGCCAAATGTCCTGGGGAGGTGGGTGCAACTCATGCCTGGGTAAGAACCTGATTTAATTGAATGGACACAGCAACCCTATGACCTAGGAAGTATTATCTCCCCTTTTTATTTTTATTTATTTATTATTTGGGGATCGATCCTGGGGCCTGGGGCTAGGCAAGTGCTCTATGACTGAGCTATACCCACTTCTCTATCCCTTACTAGAGAAAGAGAAACTGAGACCCAAAGAAGTGAAGTCTAAGAAAATCATATTGAAACCAACCCCTTGTTTTCTGCTGAAAGAAGGATCTAAACTAAGCAGGCACTTTATAAACATTTGCTAATTTGATCCTGATGAAAATATTTTTTATGTAGATGGTAACCTTTCATAGATGAGAAAATTAAAGTTACTAAAGTTTAACAGTGTACTTGGTTCTGTTTGTTTATATTCTATCTCATTCCAGATGGACTTGCACTCAGATTTGAGCCTCATCTGTCTGGTTCCAAAGTCCAAGCTCTTTCCCTGACACTAGACTGATGCTGAGTAGCTGAGAGCCGGTCACAAAACAGACAACCAGGCGGGGAGAAGCAATGGGAACACAGCCAAGTTCACAGTGCTGAGAGGCTGTGATTTCTCAAGTGCTGCCAACAGTGCCCAGTACCTAGGCCAGGCATCCTGGTGTCTATAAACATGGACTCCACACTTATTTACTCAGTCCCTACTGTGGGAATAAAACAAAACACACCAGACAAAAATCCCTGCCTTCTTGGGGCTCACAATCAAATTCAGAGATGAGAGAGCCAAACAGATGACTATAATCTTAGATGGAAAAAACAAAAATAAAAGCTTGTGGTGATAAAATCACTTGTCCTGTTCACTTCATAATAGCCTCCTGGCTAGATATTTGGAGAAAAGACCATGGGGATTTGAATCCACTGAACTTATATCTCTGTTCCTGGAAGCATGTTTACCATAAGAGTCTATTTGTTTTCTATAAATGTAGCTCAGTGATAGAGCACTTGCTTAGCATGTGCAAAGCCCTGGCTTCCATTCTTGGTGTGTGGACATACACACACGTGCACACCAAAGGAAAAAAAAAAAGTTTATAAGGGCCAAAGAAGGAAGATGCATCCTCCAGGGAGCCAGAGAAATCTTTCTGGAGGGGGGCTCTTGAGTTGAGGTTCAGTTGAGTCCATCTGTACTATGGAGCTAATGGGCTCTACTACAGAGGACTCTGGTGAGAACTAAATTATATTAAGACTATAAGTATTTAGTGAGGAACCTGACACACTGGGAGGGCCTAAATAACTCCTACCACCTTGTTCACTCCTTCCTCTAATAAGTACTATTTGTTTTATAATTTAAAAAAAATTCCTTTAAAGACTTCCCATTGATCACACAATAAAGTCCATTTTTTGTTGTTGTTGTTGGCAGTGCTGAGGATCAGACCCAGGGCCTGGCACACACACATACCAGGCAAACACTCCACCATTGAGCTATATTCCCCAGGTCAAGGTCCAAAATTCTTGATATGCCCTGTACAGTTCTGCTGGATCTGTCTATGGCTTTCTTCATTGAGCTTCAACCTTCCTCATGTTCTCCTTGATCATTCTGTCCCTACAAGGTTTTTTTCCTTTTGTTTGTTTGTTTGTTTTTGGCAGTACTGGGGATTAAACCCCGGACCTTTTGCATGTTAGGTGAGTTCTTTACCACTGAGTTATAGCTACAATTCTTTTTTAAATTTTATTTTCAGAAAGTTGCCGAGGCTGGGCTCAAACTTGTGATCCTCCTACCTCAGCCTCCTGGGATTACAGGTGTATGCCACTGCACCTAGCAAAAAGAGTTCTTCCTCGACATGTGAATTTGGACACTCAGAAATGAGACAGAAGCTCAAGTCTCTGTTCCAGTAGGAGCCAACTGTTAGGTCAGAGGTGATCTGGACATGGGAGGAAAGAATTTCAGCTAAGACTTTTTTTTTTTTTTTTTTAGGGCCAGGAGATCACACAATCTTGAGAGAAGATGGGACATTCTGGCACTATACTTAAGCTTCTCCCCAAAGAGGGGAAGAGGCTTGCCCAAGTTCTCCAGCCATGTGAGTGAGAACCTATGCTGGCCACTGCAGCTGTTGCCTCCAGCCTCAGGAAGAAAAAATTAAGGCAAGAAGTTGTAGGTCTCTGGCACAGAGTGTTGACGCTAGTGCCAGAGATTTAAAGATCTGAAGGTTCGGGCTTGTGGGACCTCAAACAAGTCATTCCCCCTGTTTGTTCTTTATTGTCACCATCTGTAATAGAGAGTCTTAGGTCAAGTACTCTGGAAAGCAGACTTAGATGGAAATTTGCATACAGGAGGTTTACTGGGGAACAATATCAGAGGACAGTGAGAAGCAGGGCTAGGCAGAAATTGGGTTGCAATGCAGCTGCAGTGGAGGGCTCAGCTGATCTGACAGGGGATTCTAGAGCTGGAATAATCTGTCAGAGCTGTTTCAAAGGAAGGCAAAGGGTCCAGGCCTTTGTTCATTCTCCTATCAACCAGTCATTGGAAGCAGACTATCTGGAGGGCATAACCATGAGTTAGTTTGCTCCTTTCAACCCAGGACAGTTCCCAGAGAGGGATTCAGGTCTTTCAGCAGCCAACACCCTCAATGGAATGGGGATGTGGGAAGGAATGTGTGCCCTAGACTTCGTGACACCCGAGCACCACTACAAAGGAATGCAGATGAGCATTTCTAACTGTTCTGTTTCGTGAAGCCTTCAGGTTCCAAGAAGGTGCTTCAGTGGGGGAAATCCTCTCTTCTTGAATGTGTTGTAGTTTCTGCAGAGTCTAACTTATTTCCTTGAAAGAGGTCTCCACTGCTAGGTCTTAAATGTCCTCAGAGGCACCTCATTGCTTTTTTTTTTTTTTGGGGGGGGGTACACAGGGGCACTTACCACTGAGATATATCCCTAGCCCTTTTTATTTTGAGACAGGGTCTAAGTTGCTAAGGCTGGCCTCAAACATGTGATCCTCCTGCCTCAGCCTTCCAAGTTGCTGGGATGACAGACATGCATCACTCTGCCTTGCTCATGTCTCTTGTGGGGTGCTCATCACAATTGTAATGTAAATAATTTGCTGAGTAATGATCTAATATCTGTCTCTGCCACTTGACAATAAATCCCAAAGAAGCATGAACCCTGTCTGTCTCCCTCACTGTTGTATCTCTGCTGTATATAACATCTGTTGAATGAAAGAATATTAAGGAAGCTGTTAAAGATACACATTTCTCAGCTCTGCCTCCATACACTGATTCTCCAGGAGACTCTAAAGCACAAAAGGCTGTGAACCATTTCTCCAACCCACCTGCCATGACTCTGGTGAATGTTTGAAACTTGCCAGAGGTTCACCCAGCTTGTTTTCCTACTCACTCTCAGCAGCCCTCAATCCAAGCATATCTTCAAAAGCCAGACAAACAAAAGAATGCAGCCACTAGCAGACTTCCCACAAACTCCGACCTGGGTAGATGTGTCCTGGTCTTAAGACTGCAGGCTGCAGAAGTCTAAAATGTATTATATTCAATCTGTATCAGTTCTCAATTTCATGTGCAAATTGAATTGAACATGATAAAAAATAATGCTGACTAGTTTGGGAACAAAAGCAATGCCACGTAGAAAACCCTGGAATCAGACTGATAAGGGTTCCAGTTCTACCTCATTTGCACAATCTTTGGCAAATTTCTTCCCTTTTTGGGGGGTGGTGGTGTACAAAGGATTGAACCCAGGGGCACTTTACCACTGAGCTACATCCCCAGTCCTTTTTATTTTGAGACAGGGTCTAAATTGTTGAGGCTGACCTTGTACTTGTGATCTTCCTGAGCCTCCTGAGCTGCTGGAATTACAGGTGTGTGACACTGCACCTGGTATGGCAAATTTCTTAATACTGAATTGCTCACCAGTACAAGGCAGAGATCCCTGAACTGTGCTAGGTGGCTTTCATGCATTAATTTTTACAACCTTCCTGTAATCCGAAATATAAATTCCTTTCCATACATAAGGAAATTTAGGAGAGAGACCTGAAGTAACTTGCTCACAGTCAAGGCATTGATGTCAAAGCTGGAATTGAACCTAGGTCTACCTGCTAAATTGATGTTCCCTAGATCTCATCTATGGTTCCATTTCCACATCTGTACAGTGGAAACACCACTCCTTTCTCAAAGGGCTGTTGTGAAGATTAAATGTGAAAACATTTGATAACAGCCACACTCCACAATGCTACCTAGAAAAGAAATGGAAATATTTTATTCCAATTTTTGTGGTTAAGGAGACTCGAAGCCCAGTGAAATTAATTAATAGCCTCCCCACCCAGGTATACAAGTGGCTAAGTCAGAGCCAGAATCCAAGCTTTGGACTCAAAGTCTGATTCACATTCTCTCACACTCTCAAATGACTCTAGAAGGAAAAGCCAATGTATAGATATACTGCAAAAATAAAAAGCTACCTCAAGGGAAAAGTGAACTTGAGAGTCAATTGGGGGAGGCTTCCAGTAAGGTCTAGTTTTCAGTTTATGACAGTAGTGTTCAGAGCAAATGGGAAGCCAGAATAAGCTTTAGCTTAGTCATCATGTGGTTTTCCTGATGAACTTCTTAGTTCCTGGTGCCCAGAGAAGTTAAGAAGCTTGACTAAGGTCACACAGCTATAAATGACATGGGCACAATTTAACTCCTTAAACCTGATTCTGTCTCCTTGGTGCCTCTAGAAAGGGAAGGATGAGAAGCAGATCATAATATGGTAGGGTGGGGGACCTCCAGTAGTACGAGAAAACAAAACAAGGTGAGATGCCAAGGCCTCAGTGTCAAACAGATGGATCCTGGCTTCTCCAAGGACTAGCTATGTGGCCTCAGCAATGTCATTTCACCTCCAAGTTAATTCCCTTGCAAGATTGTGGCAAACTCAAGAGAAATGGCCTCCACATATCCACCCCAGGACGAGGCTTGGTTGAAAATGACGTGGTCATTGTTAGTTTACCATGCCAGATCAGCTAGAGTTGGGTGGCAGGGCTGGACACCCAAGCCACAGAAGTTAAGACTTTCAATGTCAACAATTCCAACCCTGCAATCAATGACACAAGTAATCGGCAGGGCAGAGACTGTCAGGTCAGGTCCATGATGCAATCATAGCTCTCTGCTTGTGTTATGAGATGAACCCTGGCCTTCAGAAAATGGAAAAACAGTCCATTAACAATGAGTACAAAACAAAACCTTGGTGAACTTTTATTTCTTATCATACGTAACTGTTAACAAGGTCAAAGATTTCTGCACTTGAACACTGGATACCCTTCCCACCCAACCTAGGAGACAATAACAGAGGCATCATGTCCCCTCTAGAACTCAAACCCCCACGCTGGGCCCCTTTCCCTCTGGCCCACCTTCTTTGTAGGGAGGGCTTTCAGGCCTTAGGGGGTGCCCAGTCGCTTTCCCGTGCCTGCACGGGTATGAAATGTGGCACACTGGCAGGCTTATCTCCTGCCCTGCCCCAGGGAGGAGGGTCAGAAGCAGCAGCATTGTGGCCCCTGCCTTTCTCAGGTACCTCCAAACTGGATCAAGAGGAGGCACCTACTGCTAAGAAGGGCAAGAGAAGCCATAATTCACAGTTGTTTGCTACAGAAAGTGCCTGGGATTAGTCCTTGGCTGCTTCTGCCTCCAAGCAAACCTAAAATCTAGGAGAGGGGACAGATCAGATGCCAGGATGGGGGTGAGGGTCCTTGGAAGGCAGCCAGGAAAAAACAATTATAGGAATGGGGGTCCCCAGAGGACTTTGTAATATCTTGTAAGAAAAATCAGCTTGCTGTTGACAGGTTGGCCTGAGATCCCAGGGCAAAGCCTCAGACACTGGGGAAACTCAAACCCATCCCTCCGTCTGCAACTGTGGTGGTCAAGGTGGCCTGGCAATGTGGCATGGTCGCCCAATCAGTGGCAGGGCCCAAACGAGAACCCTGGTGTCTGCCTCTCTTACTGAGTCTCAGTGCCACCTCAGCCACCTAGAAAGGCCTGCTTTTTGGCAAATATCCTTGGCAGAGCTCCAGCCTCTACAGGCAGCACAGCCTAGGGCGAAGAGGCTCCCTCTGCTCCTCCCAGATATCAACTGTGGCTCCAAGGGTGAGGCCGAGAAGAGGACTGACCTCAACCACAAAGGACCCAAACACAGAGAATCTATCATCAAATACTTCTTCTTCTTCAGAGGCAAAGTGACCAACAGTGGCTCCAAATCTCTAGAAACAGTTCACGTCCAAAAGGTTGGGTCTGGCTTCTCTCCTGGGGTCTCCCACCTCAAATCACCGGAGAAAGGCATACAAGGGAAAGAAGGTAAGAGAACTAAACTAGGATTCAGGCAATGAGGGTACCAGGGGGTCTCCATTCTGCCCAACAGAAAAGGCTTTTGGGGAACAGGGCACACAGGCCAGCTGTGACCCTGGCTTTCACATTAATGGGTGAACAGCAAGTGGGAGGTAATGAACTCTGAGAATGATGGGGGAAAGAAGGCAAAGCTGCCTGGAGTGTTAGTCCCTGGAGGTCTTTGGCCCTCTCTCACAGGGGCTAGCCAGGGACTTCCCAGTCCAGGAAGGCCACAGCACTTGTGGTGCCTGGGGCTCAGCCTGCTAGCACACAAGTCTGAGGTTGGCACATTTCCCTTCTATGCCTTCTGCCTCTGGGGGGCAGGGGAAGGAAAAAATGCATAGCCCCTTGGGATCTCCTAATCCTCTTCCAGTTCCCAGGGACAGAGCTGGGATCCCAGAGTCAGTGCAGTGATCCTGTCCATTCCAGTGAGAAAAAAAGAGGGTGTGGCTCGGGGGCTGCACATCACACAAGCCCACCCACAGCAGGGTGGGGATGGGCATGGAACTGAAAGGGTCCCAGATCTGTCTCCAGATGGAATTCTTCCAGGGCGGAGGGTATCCCCAGGATCAGCTGCTCCAGGTATGGTTCCTACGTGGGAGGGAGTCAGGTCATGTAGCGGGTGATGGCACGGAGGGCGTACAGCAGGGCAGCTTGCATACGGGCCTCCAGGAGTAGCAAGTTCACATGTACCTGGGATACAGAGCAAGGCTTGTTAATGGATCCTCTACCCTCCCAGACTGCCACTATCCCTGACCACTCACCTCACCCTTCCCTTTTGCCACAGAGATGTCCTGACCTTTGATAGTGCTCTGAGCAATTTGGTACAATGACCACTGAAGAACTTCCAGTGCATTCTTCCTTATCATGATTAACTTCTTTATCCCACAGGGCTAAATAAGAGCTACCATTAACTGTGCAGGATCAAGGGTTTACAATACATCTTTTCATTTCATCTTCCCAACAACCTTGATGGTGGCAGAATTGATTCCCATTGTAAAGTGGGAAAGCTCAGAGAGGTGAAGAGACTTGCCTCAAGTCACAGTGTTATGATTTGAACTACCTACCAGTCTGCCACTGAGGACACTGGGTGAAGCTGGTACCTGTGTTTCCATTTTACAGGTTTGTTAGCAGCTGAGGAGGATGTAAACTCAAGACAACATTCCCAGGTATCCCACCTCCCTGGCCTCTCCACTGGCTGGGCCCATCTACCTCCATCCTGCTCCTCCCCATGGGTCATACCTTCTCTGAGTGGCGGAAGTGCCTCCAGAAGTGGTTGTACATTCTTCGGGTGGTCTTCTCTGGATAGCAGGCTACTGTCTTGATATAGACCTTGAGGTTCCGTTCCAGGAGCTGGTTCACCTCCCCATAATCATAATCATCATATCTGGAAAGACCAACAGCATTGCTCATCCTCTGTTCCCAAAAGGAAAGCTCATTTCCCACCCCCACCCCATAGAAAGAGGAACAGAGAATGGAGAGAAAAGGCAGAAGGTAGGAAGCAACAAGAAGTCCATTTCCTCTTAGAAGAAGTTAATACCATATATCACAGGCCAACAAACTTGTGGGGGACCAGTCCAAGGAATGCACAGAGAATGAGCATGTTGAACTGAGTACCACCAATGTGCCATGTGACCAGGTATTCATGGAATTCTCAGAACTACTACACACTACTGTGATATACAGCTTTATATACAATACACTGTACTCATGAATCCCACTTTGCAGATGAGAAAATTGACACTCGAGGTGTCACTTTCTCTAAGTCAGACAGCAGGGAATGGGTTTCAAACCCAGCTCTGTCTGTCTCCAAGGCTGAAGTCACACTGAGTCACAGAGAAATTCAGAGAAAAATTTAGAAGCAA